CCCCGTGCACCCCCCCCCCCTGGTTACGGGCCTGACTTAGCGCGAGAAAACATCAAACAAGAAAACAGGAGGCATTGCTGTAGGAGACGTTGTTCTCATAAATGATAATACACCACGCAACCAGCTGCAAGTAGGTGTCGTTAGTAATTTCGACACAGGGAAGACGGATTAGTGAGATATGTATTTTTAAGAGTACGTTGTGGAAAAGAGCTTCCAATACCTTTAGAGACACTATAAAGTATATCCATTGGAGTTGTCAAACGAAGCAACATGCGCAGAAATAGGAACACAGACAGAGAAACTGTAAATGGTAAGCAACATCGTCCTGTACGACTTGCTGCTCAGAAAACAATGCAGAGAATCAAGGAACGATCAGAATGACCATTAACATTAAGTGAACAATATTAGATTTGCCGTGGGACTATGTAATACTATCCTTATACCTTTGTGCTTTACTGCAGTCATTTCTCTCTTTTTACATAGAACCATGTTGTATGATATATATTCTTGTCGGCCTGGGAGAGTGTCATACATCATGTAATTAAGTACACCACAACACGAGAGACATGTAATTCTGAACTTCTACAACTAAATGGGAGTCGGGTGTTCACTTCAGTCAGGTGTTCACTTCATTACAATAGCTGTAACACGTACCATGTAAATAAGATATTACCAAGAGAGACTACAAATATCATACTTCAATGGAATTTGAATCCAAGACTTCGTGATATCAGTTCAACCTACGGTGGTGGGAGGTGTCACGACCACGACTCACCCTTTATGCGGACATGTTGTTTGAACAGCAAAATTATGTTGATTTCAAAATGAAAGACAATTCGCATTGTACTTACTGAGTCGGTGTGATTATAAGTGCTAAATTGGTACTTGTTAACGAAAAAAATAATTCCTCTTCAAGTGCAAGCCCAGCGTATAGCTGTGTTTCGTTGAGTAAGGGCAACTTGTTCTTCTTTATCATTATCCTCACCACCACCACCACATACAGACTGCCCAACCAAGATAAGGCAGGTGATCCCAAAGGGCATCATTGCTGTAAAATTTATCGCATGGGCAACTAATTTCATTGTTGCCTACGTGTTTAGCAATATCCTTTAACTGATCTTAAAGATTTAAACGTTAGGAAATTTGTCTTCTAGATAACTCAATTTAGTTATGTATTTTGTTGTAAGTCATATGGTTCTCCTGAATTTCAGATCGCCCTGTTAAGTTGTACAAACTGCCCCAAGCTTTTCTCCCAGTCAAGTCCGTTCCGCAAGGCCCAAGTTGATAGTACTAATCCGTCCCGTCGACGCAACGAGCCTCAAAAATGTTTGGTTACAGATGCGAATGGGAGCCGGAGTGTAGTGGATTACCTTGAAAAGAAAACCAGTCTGTTGCTTACGAATATACAGTCATTTCAAGAAAAATCATCATACATGTAGCATCCAGCGTATAAGCTCCGATATAAGCAGACAAATTTGTCCGCCATTGCTCGAGGAGAAATGACAAACTTTGACATAACGATAGTCAACACTCCATTATTAGAAAGCAAATTTTAATTGGTTCGCTAAAAAAAAGCCAGCATTGGATCGGACTAGTTATACGCTTCGAGAATATATACTTCTGGTACCGTATGTTAATTATATATGTACCTCACATTCAATGCACACTTTTCATGCAATAAATGATGGGAGTATGGATTACTTACACTTGCAGGTTATAGTAAGCTACACCATAAAAAATGTACTGACTTGTACTTACTTAAAGCACGAAACTGCAAATTCCCAAAAACAGCAACTTACTGCTTCAACAATATCAGATCCAAGTTTGAAGCTACTAGCAGTACAATCTTTTAGTTTTAAATAGTAAATTGTTAATAGAATACAGAGTTTGGGGGAGAAATTGGTAAGGAGATTATTTACCATTAATTTTGTTCACTTACCCACAACAAGCAAGTGAACAGTATCATAAACAGGTGATTCACCAAGACTTCCAGGTGAAAGTTTGCAACTATAGAACCTTTCATCTGCTCTCTGGATTGAGCTCAGTGTGAAAGTGGCCTGTCCAGGGCTGCTTCCATTCCAGTTTCCACTCACACGTCCACTGTATGGTAGATTCTGTATAGTAGTAATTGTTTGGAGCTTGTCTATGGAAACCAGAACATCTTTAACGGTAACAGCACCATTGTTCTTTGTTCCCCAGACAAATTTGCCTACGTTTCCTCCATGAAAGGCCCAAGTGAAGTTAACAGATGATCCAAGAACTCCAGTCACTTTTTTTCCATTAAAGGGCGAGGTGAACTGTAGTCCAGAGACTGCACAAAGCAAAATTGTTAGTGTCTCTCAAAAAGCATTAAAAACCCTTACGAATGAAATTGAAACTATATAAGCCCATTATGATCGAACACATTGATTTTTTAAATGCCTTGTAGCGTCTTTTTATATTTGTGTATATCCATGATCCCAAGGAAACGATTTATACTTCGAAACATAAATAACTTAACTGGTAAAAAAGGTGAAATCTGCATTTGAGCCTAGTGGCCCGACAAAACGACGATCATCTCTGGTTTGCATGGTATGAAGGGACTAAGAGTATATGTATTTCTACCCCTTGAGGGTGGGAGGATATTCCTCCATCGCAGCGTTACCCACAGCTTTTTACTGTCATTTATACTCCTTTGTGCAGGGAGGCATATTTAACTGTCTTGCTTCAGACAAAATTACCCAGGCCAGTGTCCCAGCTCGGAGTTCAGCGCACTATCCATAGACAGGCGCGCTATCTATGCCATTCCCCNCCCCCCCCTCTCCCCTCCCCTTCACTAAGTGTCTCGGCGGTGGACAGCACCTAAACAAACCAAACTGACGGGCGCACGGCTAAAAATGTTACATTTCATATAATTCTTCTTTAAATTGAGCAGGCACAAAATAAATAATTTTAACAGAGATGATAGTAAAACACTGTTTAATCATTACTTATCACATGTAATAAATTTGAGAGGACTGGGTGTAAAAATGAATGCAGGAAAGGCATTCAAAACATAACACTTGCGCCCGCAACGCCATAATTACCCTATGGAGCCACCTTAAGATAAGTATATGCTGGTAAACAATCATAACAAATCAAAATAAAACATAGGCACGTAAGGCGTGCAAGATTTATTGTTTTTTTTTGGGGGGGGGGGATTAAAAGCGCCTGGAGGGAGCAGCACTCAGTATACTCTTAACAGTTATGATAAGGTTAATCCAACAAGTTTGTTTGGTTACAATGTACAGCGAAAAAAAAATTGTTTCACGTCAGGAACTGTGATAACAAGCTTAAATTACATTCATCCACGTTTGGTTTTAACAATCGATCAGTAGCTTTGTTTATCAGAACTATATGGAACTACTCCCAGCCAGACAGCTAAACATCATGGAGTCTGTAATAGTAGCTAACGGTAAACCGATTGGTGTTGATTCTGGATAACTTTTCTGACTCATTATATAACAATAACAAATTTAATTATAACATCGTCACGCAAAAGCATGGTCTTATTCTGTTGCCAGCAATGATCATAGTTTTTTCGGTTTGATATTCCACGAGACCACTTCAAATTAATATCGATTTCAAAACCCATTTAAACGAGAAGACATTACAGGTATTGAAGGTGAACAGCGTTACCTAACTTGAGACTTGAAACAACCAGACACATGATAAAACGCCATGAAATCTGCAGAGTTTGGGAAGTTTTCTTGTCTCATTACGCCTGAGAGCTTTTTGGTGACAAAGAGTCAGTTACAGAAAAAGTTTTGTTACTTTATGAGCGACGTAAGCTTACCTCTTTAAATCTGTTTCAAAGGGAAAGAACCACTGTGTCGCCTCAAAGTCGAATCTAATTTATTTGCGGTTTAACCTGCCGCCAAGAAGTCATCAGGAATATTTGAAGAGTTTACTTGTAACAAATCTCTGTTGAAAATTCCCGTTTGAAAGAATTGCCATGAATGCAAGATATTTAAATGCCGCTGAAGACACTAACAAAAAAGAGATGTCCAATCATTTATAGCAAGTTAAAAGCCTGGTTCTCATATCCCGCCGACCTGCCGACGACGTAGTCGCCGGTTGTAACAGACAACCTTCGGCTGTTCCAGTGGGTCCCCGGCGCATCTGCGATGGATCGCCCACGTACTCAAGTTGGCGCGAAATGTCAATCGAATTGGCGCAATTTTCCACAATTCCATCTGTAAATATGGAATTGTGGGAAAAATTGAGTTGTTAAGGCATACATTGCGTCCGCAGATGATGTTTACATAAAATATCTTCATCGCCAACAATCGCCGACAACCGCCGGCTTGCCTGCGAACTTGACAAGGCGGTCAATGCCTCGGACAGATTATGATTCGGCGATAAATGGTCACATGTGCCGTAACGGTGTCCCAGGCCGTGCCGGCGGCCAGGTATGTCCCAAGTATGTCCGCGGTAGGCTTTTGTCGATTGTGCTCGTAAAACTGGCATGTTATGCTCCTAGCACTGCTCAAAATTTTTGGAAGTTATGCCCGAATTATGCTAGTTTCTCTAAATTATGCTCTTCGCATCAAAATTATGCTACTTGGTTTTAAAGCAAAATAAAGACAGAACATGGTGAATAAAGACAAAACAAGGAATAATCCCGTTTGGAACCGCCGTTTTCTACATTTCTAAGCATCCTGACTTGATTTTGTATCATAATTTCCGTTATTTCTTGACTTTTTAAGAAAATAGTAAAATCCAAGATGGCGGATCCAAGATGTTGGGTCAAATGACGTCCTTTAACGTCACATGACGTCATAATTAGCAAAAATGGTATCACCTTGTAGGGCAAGCTCAGGGCTATCTAATCTATGTTAATTTATCTCTTTGGGCCTTACCAAGAAGAGGGGTTCCATCACCCCCCTTGTACTACGGTTGGGCTATGAATTGGGTTAATTAGCTCTTAATGACGGTTTCAATAAACGCTCCCAAGAGATTGAAAGCTCTCTGTATGACATTGTAAGCTGCTGAACTATCTGAACTAGAACTTGGAAAGTGCTCAGATCGACGACGAGGACGCCATCTAATATCTTAGAACTCAGTCAGCTCACTACCGAGCCGAATGCGCGGGGCTTAAGACCAAGGAACGTTACACCGACCCCAGGCGGCCCGAAGACAACTGTAACAGAAGTTTCAGAGACAGAACAAGTAAAAAGAAGTACTCAATACTCAAATTTCGTGAAACTCAGAAAAGCCAGATTATGCTAGCAGTGCTAAATTTAGATAAAAGCTAAAAATTATGCTCGGTTTGCTAANGGCAACTAATTTCATTGTTGCCTACGTGTTTAGCGATATCCTTTCACTGATCTTGAAAAATGTTAAGAAATTTGTCTTCTAGATAACTCAATTTAGTTATGTATTTTGTTGTAAATCATGTGGTTCTCCTGAATTTTAGATCTTACTTTTTTTTTTTTGTGCAAACTGCCCTTTATCTCTGACACTAAAGTAATGAATGACCGCTTGAGCTCTGCCAAGCTTTTCTCTTAGTCAAGTCCGTTTCGCAAGGCCCAAGTTGATAGTACTAATACGTCCCTTCGACGCAACGAGCCACAAAAATAATAATAATAATAATCATCATCATCATCATCATCATCATCATCATCATCATCATCATCGATATTTAAACAGGGTGACCCCTTCAGTCGTAGGACTGGTATCAACGGGGGCCCTGTATAACGTAAAATTAAAAGAGCATACATAAATAATATATATCTATAAAAAACTAACTACTTTAAAAGATACGCAGAAATGTTTAAAATATTAAAAAGCTTAAAAAGGTAATAGCGTTCTCATAAAAATTGGATATCGAATTGAAAATGTTCTAAAAAATAACCTAAGAAAAAAAATCGGAGATAGCC